TGTGTTTTGGCGGAAGCTCACGGACAGTGAGGACACTGGGCTCTCTGCTCCGTCAGCCATCGCTGTCAAACAAGATATTTCAAATGAATAATAACCACATCCAAACACAATCAATGCTCACATGCTGCCATTTTTGAATACACAATTCTATTCCTGATGCAGGTGAGAATACTCCTATTATAACTGAATCCCATGAAAGCAAACAATGAATTGATTCCAACAGCTATATGTGTAGGAAAAGACAGACATCTTATTAGACTTTGCGAGAGAGCTTAATTGTTGTGCAGAAGTTATTAAAAGCACAAGTCTTAAAGACGCATTGGGTGAAATGTTCCTTCAGTATGATGAGCACAGCAACTGTAGTTTGTGTCGAGTTGACCCCACATACACCACCCTGCTGCTGTAAATACTTGTTAGAGCACCAGATGTGTGTGTAACCAAAACTAGTCACTAATAAATGCATTATTTATTCTGCTTGAGTAACACTTAACAGATATGGGCAGTGAGGTTCTAGGGATGATACTGCTGCACTGCATTGTGGGAAATGTGAGATGCAGTATTTTCAGAGCTTGAAGAAGCCAGGATATCTCAGCCTTTTCTATTTCACTTCATTTTTTTTAAATTTTGTATGACAGTGCTATTCTAAATCTCTGGTTGACAATGAAAAAGCCTTGCAAAGTTTCCATTGTGTATGAGTGTTTTTCACGGTCGTGTTTACTTGCAATACATGCACTTTTCCTTAAACCTCAAAAATTAAGTGTATTCTAGCCTGTTATAGCAGAAAGAACACCAATGCATAGTTAATTGATTTTGCTTTTAAATACCAACATGTACTACTACCATCAGCATACAGAGAACATTTTCTTCTGCATACTTACTCGTATGCAGCTGAAGCAGCAGAGTTTGGAGCAGTGTGGGCAGAGACGAGCATCTCTCAGTTTCTCCATGCAGATGAAGCAGCGAAACACCTCAGCAATGCTCTGCACAGAGACAGAAGTTGAGATGACAACTCACTACATCCCAGACACAGTGTCAGCAAAGTGAAACATCATACGTTTCACAAAGGCTGGCAGGTTTATTGCAAAGCTGTTTTAATGGGTTGTGGTGGACAGTTTTATTACTAAATGCTAAGTCTTGCAATCTCCATTTTATGATAATGCAATCTTGTGTGCACATGGCTCTTTCCCAACTCAAGCCATATCTAGATTACAGTCTGCCTTTGAAGATTCAAATTTTACAGCAAAACCTCAAAAAGTGCTTTCTGTTCTGAAAAATCTATAATTCTCTGTAGAGATCATACATCTTTTCTCTTGGCTACTGGCCTCAAGATCTGATCCACTGATCCATCAGACTAGATAACACAGTTATTAATGGTAAACATTCAGGGGTGAGCATTAAGGATGTCCAGAAGCATAGTAATACATACCTCGACACTTTGTTCATCCATTTCAGCCACTTTCAAGCTCTTGATCTCAAAGATAAATCTAAGAAATTGTAGTGCGTTCTAGAAGATAAGCAAAGTTAAAGACAGTACTTTTAATTGAATTTTAGGGGTAAGCATTCCAGTACTCCCACTTTCCTAACACAAAACAACACAAATGTGCTACTGTACTACTTACAGACTGCACTGAATATTTCATGTTACCGCTAACCAGAGTAACAAACTAGGGCTCAAAGAAGAAAAAACACTTTTACATTATATTACACTGTTTGGCTCCCTACCCTCTGGCCGGAGGTTCATAAGTGTGAAGTGTAGGACCTCCAGACGGAAAAACTCTTTCTTTCTCTCTGCCATGGTAAATGGTAAATGGACTGTATTTATATAGCGCATTTTTCTCACAGTGGGTTGCACCAGCCAAAGCGCTTTACAGGAGATGATACACCATTCACCCATTCACACACAACATTCACACACTGATGACGACAGGCTGCCACACAAGCCACCGGGAGCAATTTGGGGTTCAGTGTCTTGCTCAGGGACACTTAGGCATGCAGGGAGACCGGGAGCCGAGCCACCAACTTGCTGGTCAGGAGACGACTGCCCTACCTCGTGAGCCACAGCCACCCCCACCTCTGCCATCAGACTCTTAAACAGCTGAGGAGTTTGTTACCAGGAAATACGCCATGTACTGTCGACCTGTACTGTTTACATTCTCAGTTTGCACATGCATAATTCTACATTGACTATTGACTGCTGCACATGCTGCTCCCATGCAGCATACATTCTCTTATTATATTCTTATATATTTTTATTTATCTGTTCACTTGCTGTTTTAAAATGCCTTAGATTGTGTGTTACTTATTTATCTACTTTATATTTAATTTGTATTGTTTGGCATTCATGCGGACGGCAAAGTAAGAATTTCATTGTGCAGGGAAACACGTTTCCTAACTGTGCATATGGCGAATAAACACTTTGACCTTTGACCTTGACATACACTGAAACCCTGAAATGATCTACACATTAATCAAATGTGTGAACGCAAAATGTCTAAGTTACTTGACCCGGACTTTAACCTGGCAGTTCCCCAATTTAAGGTCTTTGTATTTCCAGTAGGTGAGAAAGCGTTTGACATGGACTATCTGCTGCTCTGTGATACATGTGTGAAAGGGCAACTCTTGACAATGTCCAGACTTGATTCTGCAGATATTGGGGTCTTTCTGTTTGGAGTTTGCATGTTCTCCCCGTGGTTGCGTGGGTTTTCTTCGGGTGCACCAGCTTCCTCCCACAGTCCAAAGACATGCGGCATAGGTTGATTGGTGTCTCTTAGACTATGTTCACACTGCAGGTCTTAATGCTCAGATCAGATTTTTTGCTGAAATCTGATTTTTTGCGCTGTTGTTCACACTGTCATTTAAATGCG